TAGTAGCAGCTCGGTCGCGCAAAGTTTGCATGAACCTGCTAGATAGGTATGCATGGCTGCCAAATCTTAAATTAACTAATTCATTTACATTGTGTATTTTGTATGGTTTTAAGATAACACACAACACTTTTCATTTACTGGTGTGTCGCCAAATAACGTAGCATTGAAAACAAACACCTCTCTAACAGTATTCTTACTGACTCATCTCTGGGGATCAAGAAATCGTATGTCTATTATCAGGTGCTCCATTTTATTAATGACAACGCTGACAAATAGGTGCTACGCATACGTATCATGAATAATGAGGAAACTTATCTTATTAACTTCTAAGATTATAGGCCGTAGACTAACTTAGTTTCAACATTCTATTTTTCTTGTCCGAAATATTTATATTAAAATTAAACTAATTAACTGAAATGAGATATATGTGATATAAACTCAACCGAAGAGGCTAAATTAAATATATTGGGTATATGAGAAAACACCAACATGAGATTTTTTAAAAAATATATTCGGTAAAAATTTAGCAATATACACTTGGGTCCAAATGTTCGGTATCTGGGTGCTTTCTAAATATTATGCTTCTCGCATATTTAACAAATCCATAATCTGTTATGCATCATTAGCAAATAAAAAACGCAACAAAAGTTTTGACTGCGTTCTTATATAGAGGAGGAATTGTGAGGGAAATTTGTAGTAATAATTAATTTTGTATTCGTTATAACTAATTATTTGTTTTTTTTTTAGCGTAAAACTTAGCGTAGTTCAATACTTCTAAACCATTTTTTCACTTTTATGACTCTTATTTCTTTTACCAAAAACCGATTTCTTTGACTTCTTTTGTTCGTATTTATCAAAAGATTGTGACCTTCCTTTTCCAACGGACGGAATGTCTGCATTTATATACGTTAAAATTTTCATATTTTTAAGTGCAATATTGCAACACACTATCAGCTAAGCATCAGCAATAGACTATCAGCCCTACAAGGCAGAGGTAACCAATGCACTCCTACACTTGTAAAACTCTTACATCACTAAATACTGAAAACTAACGTTGTAAGAGTAGCAACATTCATCATGCATAATTTTTGTATGCGTAGAAATAAGACGCACATACAGATATACCATTTTCCATCAACAATAGCCGGCATTATTTGGAAAAATTGTTTGAGGTAAGCACTTTTTATGTTCTTGAATTGTATGTTGTTTCTAAAGAAGTAAT